GACTCCCTGTCCGCGGACACGCTGCCCGTGCCAGCGTCGGAAGCCTACCTGGAGGAGGAGACGTTCCAAGAGGCGACGCAGAGGCGGACGGCAGCGGCGACGGCTTTCGTCAAGGCGGACTCGACGGAGCGGCTGCGCAGGGCCTTCCTGCGCAAGAGGCGTGACACCCACGAAGCGGCGAGCGTGGGCGACGAGTGCTACTTCTGGCGCGACCGTGGAGCTAGTCGGATTCAGAAGTCACGCTGGAGAGGGCCGGCTACCGTGGCTCTACGCGAAGACGCGGAGAACGGCCAGCCCAAGGTCTACTGGGCCACGCACGGCGGGAGCTTACTGAGGTGCAGCCCGGACCAGATCCGACCCATCGTGGAGCGGATCGGCGAGCCTAGGCGACCAGCAAACCTACAGTCAGCACAGGACACACTACCGGGACTACGACGCGGAGGCATCGTGCAGTTCTTCGATATCAGCCAGCTGCCCGGGCCCACTGAGGAGGACCGAGCGGACGAGCCGATGGAGGAGGATGAGCCAGTGCCTTCAGCGGGGAGCGCACCGACGGTGGAGCAGGCCATGGCAGGTCAGCTCAGGCAGGTCTCTGCCCAGGGTTCCGAGCCGCAGGCCGAGCCGAGGCCGGCGAGCAACGAGGACCCACCCCCACCACCGACGGCGCACGACACGGCGATACCTGATCAAGATGAAGATCCAGATTTACATTCGCAGCCAGTGACAGCACCGGCACAGGCAGAGTCAGAAGGTCAAGAAGCTGGGGGTGACAGGAGTGCTTCGAGACTCATCACACCCACACCGATGACGACAGTGACCGTCTCGGCAGCGAGGTTCACGGAGATGCGGAGGAACCTGGACGCCTCGGAGATGGCACCGGTGCGGACGTTCGCAGCTCAGCGCGACCGACAAGACCACCGATCAGGACCTTACGACAAGGTGGATTTCTCAGAGGACGTGATGTTCCTGAACCTGGACGCGCTGCCCAAGGGCTGGAGCTACAGCGAGCAGGAGCAGAAATTCTACCTGGACTACGAGGAGTGCTACGTGGCCGGCGAGGTGAGCGAGAAGAACACGAACGCGGAGGACAAGGCCAAGTTCGCGGAGGCGAAGCGCGTGGAGCAGCAGAGCTTCTTTGACAACCAGGTCTGGGAGCAAGACAAGAACGAGGTGAAGGACCCCAAGAAGGTGCTGAGAGCACGGTTCCTGCTCAAGTGGTCGAAGAACGCCGACGGAAGCTACCAGGCCAAGGCGCGGCTGGTTATCCAAGGGTTTCGAGATCCAGATGCGGTTGCGGGGAAGCTGGCCAAATCCTCACCGACGATGACGAGACTGAGCAGAACCTTCATCGTGATGTTTGCGCGCATTCACGGCTGGATCCTGTTCACCGCGGATGTCAGCACTGCGTTCTTGCAGGGCAAGCGCTCGGACCGCGGGATCTCCGTGCTGCTACCGGCGGAGGCGTGCAGGATGCTCGGCTATCAGCTGGGTGCGCGGATGAAGCTGCTCAAGAGTTTGCACGGCCTGAGCGACGCGCCGAGGCTCTGGTGGGAGGAAGCTACTGACCGCATGATTGCGTATGGCTTCGTGGTTCACCCGCTGGACCCTGCCTGTTCCTGAGCTACTGCCTGGACGCGACCAACTCGAAGGTACTCGACGGCGCGATCGGACTACACCTTGACGACGTGCTCGGCGGCGGCAGCAACCAGGATGGCAAGGCATGCTTCTCGGCGCGCGTGAAGGAGCTCAAGAAGGTTTTCAACTTCAGGACGTGGGAGGACACCGAGAAGGGCACGCTGAACGTAGCGGGTGACGCCTCGATGGATTTCTGCGGAAACCAGCTCACAAAGACGAAGACCGGCGACTATCAGATGAGTTGTGGTGCCTACATCAAATCGCTCAAGCCAATCACCGTGACCAAGAACCGAGCGAGCGACCAGAAGTTGGCTATCACCGAAGGCGAGCGTCGACAGCTACGAGGACTGATGGGAAGCTTGGCGTGGCCCAGCAATCAGGCAGCGCCACACTTGCAGTGCAGCGCTAGCCTGGGACAAGGTACGATCAACGAGGGCTCTACCGTGCAAGACCTGGTGGAGGCCAACAAGACGCTGAGGTTTGCCAAGGCCTACAGCGACGTGTGCCAGGTGTTTCCCAAGATATGTGACGACCCGGACGAGGTGACGTTTATTTTCATGACGGACGCAGCGTGGGCAGTTCGACGTGATGGGAGCTCGCAAGGAGGCTACCTCATCCTGGATGCTCACAGGCGCGTGCTCAGCGGCGGGACCGTCAAGTACGTGATCGTCGACTGGCGCTCGTGGAAGCTACCGAGGGTGAGTAGATCCTCACTGGCGAGCCAGGCCCAAGCTGCAGCCGGAGGCGTGGACGCGCTCGAGTACGCGAAGGTGCACTATAGCTTGATGCTCGACCCCACGCGGGACCCGAGGCTGAACGGCACCATGACGGTGCTGGGCAAGAGTGCGCTCGTGGTGGACGCGAAGGCTCTCTACGACGCAGCCCAGAAGCCCCACGTGCACAACTTCGACGACAAGCGGACGGGCATCGAGGTGCAGGTGCTCAAGGAGCGCATGACGGCGAGCGCGACGGGCTGGTACTGGGTCAGCTCGGAGCGCCAGTTTGCAGACGGCTTCGTCAAGCTGGCAGCGCGACAGTTGTTGGCAGGTCGACTCAGACCTGGAACGATCAGTCTCAGATTCGACGAGAAGTTCCAGGCCGCCAAGAAGAAGACCGCTAAGGACCGACAGGTGGAGGCCAAGAGGTTCGCCATATCCAAGCCGAAGACCAACGCGATGACTGCTCTGGCGACCATGACGTTTATGACGACAGCGGCGGCCAGCGAGGTGAAGATCTACGAGAGCGAGGTGGAGCAGGCCCTGGTGGAGTTCAAGTGGACCGAGAGCCAGAGGATTGTGAACAGCATACCGCTCAGCACGTTCGTGAGAGGTCTCCTCAGCATGATGATGGTGATCGTGCTTTTGGGTTTCGTGTGCTGCGCAGTGCTCAAGGCTGCAGGAACGGCGAGGCCGGTCCCGGCTTCTCCAGAGCCAGACGCTGAGAAGGAGTTTGTACCAACCCAGATCCCGAAGGAGAAGAAGGTGAAGCTGAGTGCGGTCAAGTGGGACATCGGTTGCCAGGGGCCAGTCAACCACACAAGTGTTGGACGACCAGACGGACAGCACGGACAGTACAAACATGTGACGAATGGATTTCGGCGAGGCTGGGAGGTTACCCGTGAGCTGCACACTGCGCAGCAGAAGCCGCCCCATGAGCGACGGTGCCCCGGCAAATCTGGATTTGCATCCTGTTCCAGTCTCGTGCCTTTCCTTTTCCTCATTCTCTCAATGAAGCTATTCCAGCAGAGGTATGCGACTACGTTGTTTGGCGCAGTTTCTCTCGAGCAAGGCAGAGTTGGTGTCCGGGCGCCAGTTTGGGCGGTCGAGCCGACGCTAATGATCTGCGAGCTGCTGTGGTGTTCTGTTTTTTTTTTTTTTTTACGTAATTGAGGTGAGAGTTTTACAAGTTTTCATTCCCTTTCTTACCAGTGTGAATTGCACTCCGTACAATGTGTTTTCAGAGGTGCTTCTGACTAACATGTTAGAGCAAGCACCCCCCCCCCCCCCCCAGCAGCGTAGCAGCATGTGTAAAGCAGGCATGGCAGTAAGCAGGATGCACTGTGCCGTTTGAGCTCGAGAGGCCTCTCGACTGACCAGAAACGCTATCTTCACTCTCCCCGCACGCAGAGCGATTGTGGACGAGGGTGCTCGAGGAGAAGTTGGCAGGTTTCGGACTTCGATTCGAACGCGATTGGAGACTTAGAGTGCTTCGACCGATTCACACACCCCCTCCCCTAACCCCTCCACCCCCCCTTCCCCCTTCGAAAGCCGAGAAGGGGGCCGGGGGGGGTCACTGCCGGTTCGACCCCCCCCCTCTCGAAAACCGGAAGGGGGGTCACTACCGGTTCCAACCCCTCCCCACCCCCCTCATCGCCAGCAAACGACTCCCGGTCCCGACCACCGTCCTCACCACATCCCCCACTGTTGTTCCCAGCACCACTGTCCTCACCACCACTGCCCCCGCTGGTTCCACCACCGCCCCTACTGTCCCCACCAGTGCCACCACCACTCTCGCACTGTCCCCACTGTCCCCGCCACTGTTCCACTCTCCCCACTTTCTCCACGGCCCCAACCACTGCCCGACTATCCCCACTGTCCCCAGTGTCCCACTGACTCCTCCGCTGTCCCACTGAGCTGTCCCACTGTTCCCACCACTGTCCCCACTGTCCCCACCACTGTCCCCACTGTACTTCTGTACCATTGTCCCACCGCCGTCCTCGCCACCGCCTTCACCACTGTCCCCACCACCACTATACCCTCCACTGTCCTACTGTTTCCACCACCCTCCCACTGTCCCCGCACCACTGTCCCCACCACCGTCCCCACCACTGTCCCACTGTCCCCACTGTTCCCACCATTGTCCTCACCACTCACTGTCCCCACCACTACCGTCCCCACCACTGTCCCACTGTCCCCACCACTGTCCCGCTGTCCCCTCACCACTGTCCCCACCACCACAGTCCCCACCACTGTCCGCACCCCCCCGGTTTTCGAGGGGGGGGGGGTTCGAACCGGTAGTGACCCCCCCCCTTTTCATGATGGACTGGGGGGGGGGCGGGGGGGAGGGGTTCGAACCGGTAGTGACGACCCCCCCCGTTTTTCCGAAGGGGGGGGGAGGGGTTCGAACCAGTAGTGACCCCCCCCCGGTTTTCCGCCAGCAGCGGTAGAACACGCTCTTTCGAATATTTTGGGACGCTCCTCGGGCTGTTTGTTGGTGGCCTTTGGCTGTCTTGTGGGGTGATCTTTGATTATCTTGGAGCAGCCTGACGGCCGGTGCGAGCACCATAGAGAAACCATATGGGTGGACAGTTCTTCAGGACACGCGCGTAGAGTGGGGGACGGGCGGGCCTGGAAAGTACAGAAGCCCTACCAGGCAACATACATTTCCGAACACGCACCGTCGAGCCTTTGGCACGGCGGCGGATTGTGTCTCCTCGCACCGTGGGCACCTTCTGCGCCATCTTACACATGCACCAAAAGACCTTTGACTCGAGCGACGCCTCCTGCTCACACCGAGCGCTGCCAGCTGCACTTTGTCCGACGGCGGCCGCGCGAGAACCTAAGACCCAGACATCCGGCTGGCTCAAGCCCAGGCGCGCGCGATTACACTCCGCGGCGTCGTCGTGGCGCCCCAAGGACAGCCTCGGCAGGCCTACCTGCAGCGGCCGAGCAGCTCTACCTACTATCCGGCGATGCAGTTGTTGACAGGACTCGGGGCTCAAGAGACGGGGGTCAATTCAAACGGGGGTCAGCCAGGGCACCGGATCCTGCAGGATCCCGCGAAGACTCCCTCTGGCTGACCCAGGTTAGCGAGCCGCTCGAGGCCGCGAGGCGGCCGCGCAGATTGGCTGACCCTTGTTTGTGAAGCCTTGCGTTGCAGTTTCTTGTTCTGCATTTCAGTTTTTTGGTTTCTGCTGATTCGGGTCTCATTGACCCGGGTTAGCAGATCCCCGAAGGATTGGGGCTGGCTGCAGCCTCTCTACTCGTGCTGCCCGTACGGTGCGCCGACGTGCGAGCTCGGGTGCCGCGGCAAGCCTCACCACCCACCAAACCTCTCCAACCCAACCCGAAGGCCTCAATTTGCCCTCCATTTCCAGTGTGGGGGGGTCGGAGAACATTGACAAAAATGCACGTGGAACCCGTACCCCCCCCCAACCCGAAATTCGGGTCTTTGGGTTGGCTTGGGGTGGTCTGGTAGGCAGTCAAAGCCCAGCTGCCCTGGGCGTACACCAAAGACGAGAGCCCGGCCGGCCCCGCCGCCTCCCTGCTGCAGGAGGCGGGGGCTCATTTCGATCTCTCTGCTTCGATTCGATGCGATTTCGATGGCTTCCGATTCCGATTCGATTCGACTTCGGATTCCGATATGGGCTCCGAGTTCTCCATGGAGGCCTGCTTGCCTGCCGATTTCCGACAATGCGATTCTTCCCGACTCGGCTGCCGATTTCCGCCGATCCGATGCATTTCGATCGCCGATCCGACTCATCGATTCGATGTTGGGCTCTCCTGAGGAGGCCGGTTGGCGCGCCAGCATCGGCGACAAGACCTACTACGCGCCACCCGAGGGCGCGGAGCTGAGCCGCCACGTGGGCGACTACTTCTACGCGCTGGGGGCCCGCTCGGCGCTCACGGAGGAGCTCGAGCAGAGCCGCGTGGGTGGCGACAGCAGGTTTGTGGACGACGATCGATGGAGACGAGGCATGTTGTCAAATTTTCCTTAGATGTCTAGGCACGTTTTTAACATGTCTTACGCACTTACAACAAAACATGCTTCAAACTTTGTTGGAATTCTTGATTAGACATATTTAACACTTGTTCAGTTCAATGATCGGATTGTGATGTTGTCCATTATCATGGCATCCACAACAGCAGGTGGCACATCTTCCACCTCCCCGGCGGCCCGTCCCTGCTCCAGCAGAGCGTCCCGACCAGCGGCGACCGGCGGGAGTCCATGAGCGCCCTGGTGCAGCTGACGAACGGCGTCAGAGTCAGCAGCGGATTCCCTGAGTACAAGGTCACCTCCGGCTACAAGAGCCCGCTGACGGCCAGCGGGCAGAATAAGGAGAGGGAGGCGGTGGAGCTCGTCACCAAGGAGGTCTTCCAGAGCTTCCTCGAGAACCTCACGTCGCTCGGGCCCCCTGGGCTGCCCACGCGCAGCTACAAGAACCCCTCCGCCTCGAAGGCCGCGCAGGAGTTCCTGAAGCAGGAGTTCGCCAAGATGGGCATGGCCTCCTGCCTTCACAGCTTCGAGGGCCTAGGCACGCACATGGCCAACGTGGTCGCCCGCGTGGAGGGCAAGGGCTCGGACGCGGTCGTCGTCGGTGCTCACTACGACTCCCGCCCCTTCGACGGCAAGGCCCCAGGCGCGGAGGACAACGGCAGCGGCGTCGCCGCCCTGCTGGCGGTCGCGCGCGCGTTCACGATGGCCGGCGTGAAGCCCGAGAAGAACGTGTACTTCGTGGGCTTTGCGGCAGAGGAGCCCGGCCTCAAGGGCTCATCCGCTTTCGCGAAGGAGATGGCGGCCGGAGGAGGCAAGCTTCCGTCGGAGTGCAGGACCCAGTCCGGCAGCTTCCTGGAGCGCGGCAGGTTCCGGAGCAAGAAGGCGGACCACAGGGCCATTGTCCTGGACGAGGTCGGCTGGAAGAGCCCCGCGCTGTCGAAGGCCACCGTCAACCTGGAGTCCTACGATTGGGCCAAGGAGACGGGCCTCCCCGAGCTCATGGACCACATGGCGCACGCGAGCCAAGAGTACAACGGCCAGGAGCTGTACGTAGTCCACAGCAACCACCCCTTCGGCTCGGACCACATGAGTTTCCTACAGGGGGGCATCCCGGCGGTCCTGACCATCAATGGGGATGACGAGCGGTACCCGCACTACCACCGTAGCACCGACACGATCGAGAATGTGTCCCCGGAGTACGCAGCGCAGATCGCCAAGATGGTCCTCGGTGCGACCGTCCGCTCCGCAGGCGTCTCCGCGTCCTGAGCGCGCCAGCTGGGCGCCCTCGCAGGGCAGGTCGTGGTCGTCGCGGTCAGGGGTGGGGTGGATGGATGGGCTCTTAGGGCGTTCGGTCAAGCCGACGAGGAGGAGGAGGAGGAGGAGGAGGAGAAGGAGGAGATGGAAGAGGAGGAGGAGGAGATGGAAGAGGAGGAGGAGGAGGATGAGAAGCAGGAGGAGGAGTAGGAGGAGGAGGAGGAGGAGGAGGAGGAGAGGAGGAGGAGGAGGAGGAGGGAGGGAGGGAGGGAGGGAGGAGGAGGAGGAGGAGGAGGAGGAGGAGGCGGCCAAGTGGACTCTCAATATTCATGCTTTTGGGCCCTGCGGCGCACCGCCTCCCCTTGCCGGGCTGACGCGCCGCCGTCCCGCGGGAGGCTGCCTGGCCGCCGGCTGCTGGAGAAAAATAAGAGACCCAGACATCCGGCTCCTCCTCCTCCTTTTCCTCCTCCTCCTCCCTTCTCCTCCTCCTTCTCCTCCTAGCCACCGCGAGGTCAAGCGGCGATCGGGTGGCCAGCACACTTCAGGGAAACCATTCACTCCTTCCCTTGTCACATGTTTGTCAGCCCGCGCTTACACCGCACGAGTGCGACTCGGATGGCTTCTCTTGCACTTCTGGTTTACAACCCTATGCGCTGTGCCGCCGACAGGTTACTCGAAATAGGAGAGGAATGTCACAACTTCGACCTCATCGGCCTTGCAGGGACGACCCGACGCCGACCCTCAGGTGAAACGGAGCAGATGGGCTACATCACAACACAAGGGGGGGGCAGGTGCAGGTATGTGGAGAGTGGGTGGAGGGAGGGAGCGGCGTGCAGCAACACATCGGCGGGATGCATGATTATCTGGAGGGGGAAATGGCAGCACGCACTACTTCTGGACACAGCGGCGCCACCTGACATATTACATGGTAGGGGTATTTCAGCTACACTACAACTAGGTGGACAGCGTGTGAAGTACATATGTGTCTATTACCCGCCTCAGCCTCGAACCACGGCTGAACGACGGCAGTATCTACGTATTGCCGAGACCCTCTCGGATTGGATCGACCAACAGGCGGCTCAGGCGGGCCCATCATAGGCGCTTATCATAGGTGGCGACGTCAGCGATGGTATGGGACAAACCATAAAGGGGGAACCGATCCACAGCTGGGCGGTCGGACCTGGGGGTGCCCCCGAGCGCCTCCCAGGGGGAGCGGGGCAACCCTTTCGTGGGATTGCAGAGCGTCATCATATGTACGCGGCTAGCACTCACGACCACTGGCGGCCGGCCTTCTTCGCTGAAAAACGCAAGTCCCAGATCGATTATCTTTTGTTGCCGCAGGAGCGGCGTCCGCTTGTTCAGACGGTGGGACCACTGTGCCGCATGGGCCGGCGACTGCAGGTCATACCCTGCCGCGAACTACGAGACCACGTCCCTACACATGCTACTATATCTATGTTGAGAGTATATGGGCATAAACCACAAGGACGAGTCAGATGGGACCGGCAAGCTTTAGTAGCGGGTGTCAGGAGAAACGTGGGCAGAGCAGCATTCGTCGCGGAGGTGGAGGAGGATGTCACGAGGAGAGAGGAGGAGCTGAGTGAGATTAGGGCTGGAGGCGACAGCACGGCGACAGTCGGAGCGCTTACGGAGATTGTGCACTGTGTGGCGGCTACACACTTCAGTAGCGGGTCCCGCAGAACCGACACTTACCGACGACTCCAGCAGGAGCGATTGGATGTGCTTGCGAAACGACGGGACATCAGGGAACAACAGGGCGAGGGGACGGAGCAGCAAATGATGAACACACAGTCTCGCCTTAAAGCCCTGACGGTGAAGTGTGCGCGTATGAGGAGAGAGGCTCGGCAACAAATAGGAGCGAAGAGGGTGGAGGAGCTGTGGGAGGCATGGAGCAGGATGGATTTGGCGGAGGTGGGCAGATTGAGTAGGCTTCTGGCAGGCACGCAGCTGGGACGACGGCGCAGGAACTATCGCAGCGTGGTCACCAGCATGCCGACTCGACAGGAGTGGGAGGACTTCTGGAGGCTCCCAGGAGGACAAGGAGGGAGGGAGGCCAGGACGACGACCAGAAAGGAGCTGAGAGAGGAGTCCCGCCACCGTGCCCGCCCCCCCGATCTTGCGACACTGAATGATGCGATCGACCTCGCCCAGCAGGACATGAAGGAACTCGCCCGCAGGCTCTATAGGACAGGACTCCGCAGGGCCCACACAGTAGGCGCGGCTCCCGCAGAAGCCTGGAGGATGATGCTTACCAAACCCCCCCAGGTCCAAGACAGAGGAGGAATAGGCATCGAGAGGCCCCGCGTCTTCCCCAAGAGTTTCAGGAGCGCACTTGAACAGGCCTTCCGACAGATCCGCATCACCAAACGGGCCCCGGCAGATGGGCACATTAGCGAGGCTACAGCAGTACGAAAAAACAACGAGACGGGGCCCAGGGGTAAAAAGGATCTACCACGTTCTGGATCCGCTTGGGAAATGTTATTACGCTGCACGCTTGGAACGGGGATGGGGCTCAACCTTCGAGGGACGAGGACTACGGGTTTGTGAATGGGCGACGACGGGAGGGAGCAGTTATGGCTAGCATGATTACGCAGGATCGATTGTCCAGAGCCGGGGTTTCCTATGCTGTGGTGCTCAAAGATATGTCTAATGCTTTCGCCAGCGGCGACTGGCTAAGTATGGGCGCGACGACCCAGGAATTACTTACTCAGGACGCGTGGGAGCCGGGGGAACAGAGGTACAGGAGTTGCGCTTTCTCGGCCCCGTGCCGTGACCAGCAGGACCCTCTGCTGATGCGACCAGGGTGCGGCGGGCTCATATGGGGATCCGTATATGGTCTACAACCTTGTGGCTCTGTTCTCCCACCCCGTAGAGCAGTGGAAGCAGGACTGCCTTGCGTCTCTCCCGTGCGATCAGGCATTGCAGGCACATTGCCCTTTCTTTGAGAAGCCACAATACCTTGGCCTTTTTTCAAATACGCAGACGACCTCCAGAAGACATTGCTCAGCCTAGCGCAGCATCCCGCGGCGGATTTAGCACGACAAGCGCGCCAGGCAGACGAGACGCTAGACGCTAGGTTGATCAGGTTTGGCCTGCACCAAAATCGGGGCAAACAGGAGAGTATGGTCAGGATGCAGGGGGCAGGATCGGTTGCGCAGTGCCGGCAGCTCAGGAGCAAGCAGCATGCACTCCCGGGGCGCACGGCACAGTCGGCTCGATATCTGGGACCACATCTAAACACGGCCAACACATTCGGAGACATTCGGAGCGGAACTGAAACAACGTGTGCGTGCGATGATCAGGGCTTTCAAGGAGATGGGGGGATTTTTGTTCAAAGCGGGGATCCCATATACATGGAAACGTTCGGTCCTCATATGCAAAGTTGCGAACGCAGGTCTCAGTTGCATAGAGAGCTACTGCCCGACCAAGTCGGAGTACAGAACACTTGCCATGACGGTGGCAGGTTTGGCCAGGAAAGCTGTGAATGGGGACAGGCTACAAGGCACTTGGAGGACGGATCGACTCGACGTCTAACCAGTTCCGAGGTTCTCAGGCACTGGCGTATTCTCCCACTCCAGATGGAGGCCAATGTCAGACGTCTCTCATGGATTCGTAAAGTACTGTTGGGACCTACGCGGCATCAGCAGCTACTGACGGCTATCGTCGGACAACTGGAGCTGGAGACAGAACCGACGGTCTTTGATGATGGTACGCTTCACCCGCTGTGTAACACATGGGCTAAGCGAATCGTTACACACCTAGAGGAGGCCTGCCGCACTGACAGCTTTGCGAGTAATATTGGAGACCTCGATATAGAAACAGGTAACTTCTTTGAGTCTGATTCCCAGGAGGCCCTTCGTGTTCTGGGTCCCAAGGGGCCCCGCCAGGCCTACCGAGCCCGCGCCATCCCACCCCCAGGCCTTAGTATAGCAGCAGCAGGCGTAGCGGAGGAGGAGACGGCCCTGTCAGAGATTGCGCCGTGGAGATGTGAGCTCATGGGCGATGTTGCTGCGCCGACACTGCCAAACATGCCTGTGCCTGCGCCGACTCTCCCAGGATCACAGTGTGAAGGTATGGTGTGCGGGATGTGCTTTGGATCGTCTAAAGCATTCGTATCGCATATGCGAAGCAAGCGCAAGCTCAGCATACTCGCCTTCCTCCTGACCTTAAATAATGAGTGTGTAAATTGCGGTGCGATCTTCGGGGAACGGAGCACAGCGGGCAGGCATCTTATGAAGGCCTTTCTGCGTTGACAATGCCCCTCGGACAGAAGCAGAACGATGAAACCAGCGGAGGACTTTGACCAGAGATGCAGAATTTGCGGGCATGCGGACAACGACAAACAACAGTTATTTGCCCACATCCGCAGCCATTTCCCCTGAACAATTCTGCGGCCTCCGACTCCGGCGCGCCGACCGACCTCGGCCCCGACCGCGGCCGCTTCGCGCCCAGCCGGCGCCCCACGACAAGATGCCAGGCGAAGCGGCGGCGGCGGCGGCATCAGGCGCAGCAGGGGGCGCAGCCATGGTGGACTATTTCGCCACTGGACCAGCGCGGGCGGGCAAGCGGGGGCTCGCGGCGGCGGCGGACCAGAACGACCCCAACAAGCAGTTCAAGAGCAAGGGCGCGGGCAAGGGCAAGGACTGGGACAGGGCGGAGCAGATCGCGGTCACCTCGGCCAAGCTGGCGCTCGTAGTCGCCAAGGACGCACAGGACCTGCAGGCCACAGCGCACAAGGCCTGGGAGATGGACGCAGCCAAGCCGCCCCCCACATTCGCCTTTCAAGCAGGCCAGCAATGCGACGCCGACGCCACGGAGCTGAAGGAGCAACACATGATGGACAGCCAGACCGAC